ATCTAAAATCCGGACCTCAAAGCCACCATCAACCAATTTTTTAGGGCTTTTTTGGGCGCATTAGATTTTTTTCCTCATCATAAAAAAAACATGCCGGAAATCCCGATTCTTAATCTCAGTTTGGCGCTAAATAAAATATCTCATTATTGAAGAAATAATTATTTTAGCATAAATTTGTGTGATTAGTAACTTGACTCCATAGCTGCGTATCTGCTTGGCATAATCTCAAATTGAAAAATTTGTTAATTTTACAGCAACTAATATTTTATATCCTTGATGCTGAAATAGCAAATCATTATTTATTGTATTTTGCTTTCATCACCGCATGTTTATCAACGAATGACAACTTGAGTGATGACTCATGCAGCAACGCCAAATAACAGAGTATTATCCGATTACAGATTTAAGTTTAATGCACTAAAATGTTGACAAGGGGAGATTTAACAGAAATTTCTAAAATAGATTTTGTTAATGCTTTTGTTAATGATACTCATAGGACAAACGATTATATTTAGTGCTATTTGAATTAAGAATAACTTATTTGTTAATCACATAAAGCCAGAACCAGTGCCAAAGCTCGCATGGCCGCACCAGGCGGCAGAATTAAGGGAAGTTAAACAGAAGTTTTTCATTGCGATGACAATGCCCCAATTATCAATCAATTAACGGAGGGCGAAATCTGTAGTGTGGTTCTAAATCCAGAAAATACAGCTACCGATAGTGAAGAAAGTAACAGAGAGGTTACTGAACGAGAAAAAATTTTGATTGACAAGTTATTCGGAATTCTCGACACAGCAATTACAGGACTTGAACAATGGAACTTAATAACTCAACAAGAAATTATATGTCTATAGTATTAGTCTAAAGTATTAGCAGAGAAAACAAATCAAACAACTCACATTGAAAGAAATGTTTAATAAAGTAAACATATAAATATTAAGCTCTTTTCTTTTGTAAATTTTGATAGCCTTTAAATCATAAATGCTTTCATAAATCACGATTTCATATTTTCAATTTTATAATTTCTAAAGTTAATTTTGCGTCTAGTTAATTCAGGAAAATTAGTTTCAATTAGTTGTTTTCAGCTTTAAAAATATTAAAATTTTTTTAATTAGTTGTTTTCAACTAATAATTGTATCGCCATTAGCAAAAATAATGCATTACTATCAACAGCATAGGATTAAACCGAATACTTAATTGTCTATTGGAGCTTCAAAACGTGTTTCCGAACTTCACTTTTTCTCGGCTAGCGTTACCGAATTTGCCCTTGGCGACCTAAAATCAAAATGGAGCCATCAGGTCTTCAGCAAAATCGATAACAGACCCTCTGCAGAAATAAACTCATAATCCCGATATCCCATACATATAGTATGTGCAAAAGAGAATAAACTCCGTAGAAGGTAATAAAAAATTTATTTATGGCTTAATTGAAACAAACACAGAAATTAAGCTAAGCAAAACCATGTGTAAAACAAATTGAAATGATAAAACGAAACTTAATTTTCATGTGAATTTTCAGCGCTGACTCTCCCATTATAGAAATTTCAATTTGTTTCAGACAAAGACCATATTTAGCTTTATAAGGATTGTCATCCATCAATATCCAGTCTTTGTAGTCAGCTTGATGAAGCCACAGTTTATTGAAAATGCACTTTCCAGGCATCTCATTCCTATTGGCGTCAGAAGGGTTGTGGCCTTCCAAGTTGGAATTGCTCTAATTTTGGCAAATATTTTCAGAATCCCCCCCCCCTTTTTTTTTTCTCGAGCACCTTCATCATCACTTTCGCCTCTTAAATAAATTCCGGCTTCATGCTTTGTCACAATCTGCCTAAATTTATGGATAACACCTGTTTCGAAAGATTGGGTGAATAGCCAATCAGACACCGATACTTTCGTTCAGGTAGCTAATTGTTTTTTTTTTTTATCGTTTGCAACGCAAATCCACCAACAGATTGGTTAAGAGCCATGCAATTTTAATTCCATATTCATGAGAAATCGCAATTCACACATAGAATGGCAAACATTAGAAATGATAAGAAATGTCAAATGAGCAAAATTAAGGACCATTTATTCATTTTGGCCAAAAATAAGGACTTTTAAGGACCAAAAATCATTTTTGAAAAAATTAAGGACTTTTAAGGACCGTACGAACCCTGTGTATACCTTCGAGAGCATGTTGGCAGATGCGAGCACTGTGTGGTCGGGCGTTATCCTGCTGAAAAGTTGCATTAGGCAGCCCCTGAAGGTAGGGAATTGCCACCGGCCGCAGTACATTATCCAAGTATTATTGGGCCGTCATAGTGCCCTGAATACGAACTAGAGGTGACATAGAATCATAGGCAATAGCGCCCCGAACCATTATGCTACGGCGTAGCGCGGTGGGGCATTTCACAGTTACTGCCAGATTAGATCTGTCTCCACGTCGACGACACACACGTATGCGGCGACTGTCACTGGATAAGCAGAAGTGTGACTCATCTGAGAACACGACGTTTCACCATTCTGTCATCCACATCGCTCCAGTCCGGCACCATTCTAAACGTTGCCGTCTATGCTGTGGGGTCAATGGCAGTCTTCTTAATGGACGCCATGAGTACAGGCTACGTTCAACCAATCGATGGGAAATGGTTCTAGTTGACACGGGAACATCCAGGGTATTTTGCATATGCTGCAAAATACCCTACCAAAATCGTAGTACAAGTGATTTGTGGGACCATGCTGATGTCACCCTGGCTTCACCTGCACCCCTCCTTCTTCCCACATTTCCTTGTTCCAACCATGTTCGCCATAGCCGATGCACCATGCTCGCATCCATGTGGGCATCAGCTGCGATTTGACATAAAGACCAACCCGCCCTTCTCAGTCCGATCACCATACCCCTCGTAAAATCATCTATCTGCTAGAAGTGCCTTCGTTGATGGCGGTCTGGCATTCTCTCCTATTACACATATCCTCCGAGACAAAAACTAACTTTCATCGATAATTCGTCTGGCAGAAATAACGACATGAATATTGACCATTCCGCACGTTCCTTCCCTTATATCTTACTTCACATGCGTCGGAGAGCTGCGCATTTCACATCATTTTCATAACTCAGTGACGTGCGTCTACTCTAAAATTTGCATAAATTTTTTACCACTCCTTCTTGATGTTGTATTTTCAATGTCGAGCAGTGTATGTTAGTGAATTGCCAGAAACATTCCTCCAAAATGCTAATTCACACTCAAAATGGCAGTTGTAAACACAGGCAGAAATTTCAGATGATTAAAATTAAGCACCTTCTGTCGGTTTTGGCCGAAGGACCATAAATCGATTCCAAAAAACTTAAGGGCTTTTAAGGACTATACGAACCCTGAATAAGTGTTGAATATGTAATGAAACTAAAAGAATAAAAACCATCATTTTAATTACTTATGTGCAATTTCTTTTAAATATTTTTCAATGTAATTCTGTATTTGCTGATTTAGCTATAATAATTCTGGCTCATGGCTATAAACTTTACATTTAGTTTTAATGCTCAAATAATTGTGCAAAAAAATTTGAAATGGGCTAACAGTCTAATGCTCAATCTTAAATCATTATGAATGTGTACATTAAGAAATTGTAGAACCTTGAACCAATATGAGTTTGCTTAAAACTTCACCTTTATGTACATTTAGTATTAATAAGTTTGATATGAGAAGAATTATGAAACAACATTATTTTTGCAATAAACTGTAGACTATTTAAATTTCAGAATACTAATTTACTTATATTACCTTAAAAGTTTTTCATTTTGTTTTTTAATAGTGCTGAGAGCTCAGACACCAAGGAAGTTCACTGTACTACAGGAACATGAATATCCAGATATACCGTGAATAACAGGCAGCATTAAAAAAAAGGCTGAATGCAAGTGAATCCATGACTGGTGTCCCACTTACTCAGTCTGAAAAATGTGCCTGGTAGCAGTGCTGCAGAGACCATCATGTTTGGAGTATCACAAGTTGGAGTGGATTTGTCTTTACTGATGTGTCTCATTTTTGTTTAAAGAGTGCTTCCAAATGTGTTACAACCTGTAAGTAGCAAAACGCATGCAATAAGCCTGAAAATATCCATGAAAGGCATTGGTACAAAGGCGGTGGAATCATAGTAGGGATGGATAGATGACATTTTGAACAGCTGCACTGATCTACACATTTTTTTTTTTTTTTTTACAAGTGCAACTATCAATGTTGAAATATAGAAATGAGGTTCTTGATCTTTATTTCAAGTTATTTCAGTGTGCAATCAGTAATAACTTCCTCCTAATGGACAATAATGCGTGCTTCCATTGTGTTCACCAGTGACCAATTACTTTCGTGGCTAATAAATCCAGAAGATGGAGTGGACCACATATTTTCAAGACAAAATCTCACAAAACATGTGGGACACCAACTTACATCATTGCAGCCCCAAGCTGGCACTCCAAGAGCCTAAAGAAACTACTCATCATAAATATACTTTGTTACCATATGAAACCCATGAAAATTACCACACAACATGAATAACTGCTACACAGTTTGTATTTTAGACAAAAATAACCACATATCTTATTAATTTAATATGTCTTGCACTTTTCATTTAATATATGTCAAGTATGGCAAATGGCAAGCTAAAGATCTTGTGCAAGTTCCATGTTCTCAGCTGCAAAATCATTCTAGCTACATGAAATTTATGGTTCCTCCTTTCATTTTTCATGCCAGTACAAAAATAAAAATAAAAATCATATGTCTGGGAAAAATGTTTGGGTCATAACAGCAAGTTGCAAAGTCATTTTGCTGAAATTTTCGTTCATAACTGCCAGCATTTTCAAGAAGCAGAAACATATCTCAGAATTCTACCTTGTATTTCTCAACAGTCTATGTTTGATACTAATATGAACCTTGAAATTGATAAATAAACTAGCAAATGGAGAAGAGAATTTCAAAATTGCATTTTACATAATTATAACATAAGATTTGATAAATGTTAAAATATTTTACTTTGTCTTCCAAACAGAAAGGATTTGAAGCTTTGTTGCTGTTAATCAGAGTATCACATTGTTTAGATGCACCATCTAAAAAGATAATTAAAATTAAAAGATATAAAGCCTGAGTTTAATCAACTATATCATTAATATATTCTAGATCAAACGTCAGCAATAATTAGTATCGCTGTCAAAAAGCAATGTTGTAAAGGTATTCAGCATGCCAAATTCAGCCCACCACATCTTTACATACAATGGCCATTAAAATACATTAACTTAATCGGGTATTAATTTTTTCCAAAATATTAAATAACTACCTTTGCTGATCATTCAGTATTAGGAGGGGGAAAGTGAAAATTTATGTTCTTAACGTACTTGTTTTCAAATTTTATTATTCAGTCCAATGTTACTACAATTTACTAAATTGTAGAAAACAAAACAAAATATTTAGTAAAGTTTTAATATAATTTATCACTATTTATCATTAATTTGATTGATTCATAAACTAATTAGATTCTCACTCTTGTTTCTCTTTAGTTAACTATTCAGTGCCAGGCACAAATTTGGTCACTTTCAGCTTCGTACATCCCTTAGAATACACAGGTGTCGAAAAACTTCTAAGACTCAAGCAATATTCCTGTGTAGGAAAATTTGTCCACGTTGCATAAGCTGGTCTAAAAACTAAAAGCAAAGCAAATGCAATTTACACAAACAAATAAATTATAATTATTTATTCAAATGCCAATAAATCTAATTTTATAAATCCATGAGAGTTACTGTGTCTGACACTCGCATTATCTCGCCTTCAGTGTGAATGGCTTCAAGAGTTTCATACCCAAATTTAGTCAAAATACAATCTAATTATATATATATATATATATGTAATGACAGCACAAATTCTGGAAGTACTGATATAAGAACACTGAGATGTAGATGTGTAGAAATACTGATGGCGTAGGTACTTAACGCTTAGAGCATCCATCCATTTTGATGAAAAAGCAAATGAGGTGGATTAAATTCTATATTTATTTTAAATTAACCTTTGTGGCCACAATTCACTTGGCACTCTACTTGTGCCTATTAAAGAATATTTACAATTTTGATACTACGGTGATAGAAGCAATCATGGCAGCACACGGATTATTGCAGCAAAGCGTCTTAACAGGAGGAAAGCATAAGCGAGAAGGGAAAGAGTGTCGTAGTAGTAATGCAGAGGAAGAAGGGAGGGAGTCAAAAGATTTCTCCGAGTTTTGGTTTACAATTATTTTGATTGGGCAAGAGATATCTGCATTAAGCGTTACATAAGATCGCATGATTATTTAGAATGATGCAGTTTAGACTTTTAGTGCTATTTTTAAGACAGGGAAAGGAAGTAACCGAATTAAATAAAACTAAAGGATGTTATAGCCAATTAAAATTAGAAGTCTGGATTCATGCTTTTTATCTTGCATATATATATTCAATGATTTTAAAATGTGTAGATGAAATAGTGGAACTTTAACAGCTTTCGATACTGTGTAGATGATCGAGAAGAATTATAGTACTTTTCAAGGAAGAAGGTTGGGAGTGGAAAAGTTTCAGTTCAGAGTTTTGGTTTACATTTAATTTGAATGGACAAGGGGCATCTGCATTAAAACGTTACGTACAATATAAAAATCTGGAACCTGTGAGAAGAGATGAATTTAGGGACAGATCACCAAATTTAGAATGTTAATTTTGAGGTCACCAATTATTTTTTTGAAACAGCTATCATATTTTGTTATATCTTACATATCCCGCCCCTTCAAAAGAGGGCTGGGTGAGCAGGATGGAAGAAAAAGCATTAGAGCAGCAAAATGTGTAAAATACAATTTTGAAAATACAAAACAAATTAATAAACCTATTTAACGTTTAAACAAAAAGTTATTGTCATAAAGTTTGATCGATACTTTGACATTTCACTGGAAGTCATAAAATTTTGTTGAATTCAATAATTAATTTTAGCACTGTATTCTTTTAAAACAATAGCATATTTTAGAGTTCTAGGGTAAGAATGTCCAATGAAATTTTGTAAAGTTCTTGATATTACACATGGTAAAAGATCAATTTTTTCACAAAGCAAATGTTCAAATAAAAGTCTTCCACTTTTTGTTCATGAAAATATTTCTATTATATTACAGATTAAGATGCCAATTCCATAATTATGTTTTTAAGGAAGGCATTTTAAAATATAAAAATTTTGTAACACATCATTCATAAACACAACAAATTTCAAACTTTTCACTATTATTACGACATTTAAAATTTACTTATTCTTTACTAAACTTGAAGACTCCACAACTTTCTCTAAATACCAGCATATCCATCATATTGGTTTGTCAGTTGAGCAAACTGGTGTTTATTCTTCACCAGTGGCTGAAAGATTTGCCAAATTAGCAGTTACTGTAAAAAAGGCCTTGGATAGAGGCAACTGGCTTTTTTCGAACTGCTTTCATTCCATCATAAAAATTAAAAACACACACTATTTTATGAAAAAAAAAAAAAAAAAATACTTAGATTGGTAAGTTTACAATTGGGTACCCCTTGTTTCTTGGCAATTCTTTTTTGACGCCAAGATCGGCGCCAGGAAGGCACGATTTCAAGATGGCCACTACACAAAACAAAACAAAAACAAAAAAAAATCAAAGAATTGTACAAACACTGTGTCCATGTACACATCGATCTGTTTTCAATTAACAAAACATCCTAGAATTGCACAATGCACAAACTAGGCATTGTGCACTGCCTTAAATTTGTCCATGTACACATCAATCTATTTTCATTTAAATAAAATCAGGAAGTTAAAACAAAGTTAAAACTATCATGGTAACCAGAAATGAGGTTTCATCACCAAAATTTTTAAAAAATTGTCGCTAATCGAAAGGGCACCCAATTCTACACTAGAGCTCTTAGATTTTAAAAAAAAAATGTACTTTTTCATAAGGTGAGAGCCTTCAACATTTATCTTGAAAACATTTAAGAAATAGTACCAACAATTCAAAAATTTCAAACAATAATTTCATTCTTAACATACAGTAAAAATTAAAAATATAAATTCAAAGAAATTTAAACAGTAGTATTAAAATATTATTTGTATTAGGAACCTTCCCTAAATACCAAACCATCAAATTCTTTACCAAATTTTTATCAAATTCAGTAATTTTTCTTTTCCAATTCAGAAATACAAAACTACATTTTAAATAAATCATAAAATTTTTAAATTATTAACTTTGATTTTAAAACGATTTAAGCAAAATATTACCATCAATAAATCATAAAACAATGCAATTACATATAAATGTAAAAATTACTTATAATACAAAGTCATTTTTAAATGCAATTTACTCCATTTGGAACTTCATACCACTTCAATATCACATTAATAACTTTTGATAATACAGTCAAAAGTGGTTAATTTGGACACCCATACTCCGGAACTCAAAGCTACAAACTTTCTGCGCATGCACATAATACATTTACGCATGCGCGTTTAATGTATAACAGACGGTATAAGCTAAGCTAAAATTATCTAATTATCTATTTCAGTTAATGTTGCAGATTGTGTTGTTCCTTAATCTTCAAATTGGAACCAGCTTATTATTTTTTGCAGACTGTTAGAGCAATTTTATAAAAGTAAGTTGGAACTTTCGATTATGTCAAATAGAATTTCCAACGCTGGATCTACAAAGGGAAACCATGTTTCGATGTCCATCAAACAAAAAGAGAAATTGATGCAAAAAATGGATAAAGGCTCCTTTGTTTCTCTAACCATTCCAAAATCTGTTTATCAATTTCACGCAACTCTGCGCGGGACGTCGTGATGCGCAATGAACTGGAAGTTGATCTGTCAGCACTATCCTTATCTTCAGGGCAGATGTTTTTATTTTATTCGGCTTATAATACAGTCAAAAGTCTTTAATTCGGACTCGTCGGGACTTCGGCGATTCTGGATTATTGATTTTTCCGGAATATAGATCATCAGTTTAAATCTTGTAAGATGGCATGCAGAAATTATAAAATTAAAAATATAAATCCGTAATTTATGAAATAAAGAGCAATTATGATCTAAAGGGTATCAAAATTTACAAAAAAAAGAGCTTAATATTTATTTGTTTACTTTATTAAACATTTCTTTCAATGCGCGCATGCGTAATTACGCATAGTCAAAATTAGAAAATTGCAACCAGAAAACTATTCGATGTGTACTCGTGATATTTATAATGATGAGGAATTTGATTTAAATCATTTCAAAGACAGAATACATCCAAATGAAATACTACATTTAGTAAGGAATTATAAGCTGAAAAAAATAAAAACATCTGCCCTGAAGATAAGGATAGTGCTGACAGATCAACTTCCAGTTTATGGCGCGGTGCGACGTATACAGTCAGAAGTCGTTAATTCGGACACCCATAATTCGGAATGATCTATAATCCGGACCTCAAAACTAAAAACTTTCTACGCATGCGCCGCGTTGACACATGCGCATAGGCGTTTACGTGTGCGTGTAAGACCTTTTACGACTGCGCATATGAGTGTGCGCAAGTGCAGAATACGTTTTCGCGTGCGCGTTTTATGTATAATGGACGTATAAGCTAAAATTATCTAATTATCTATTTCAGTTAATGTTGATGATTGCGTTGTTCCTTAATTTTCGAATTGGATCCGGCTTATTATTTTTTGCAGACTGTAAGAGCAATTTTATAAAAGTAAGCTTAAACTTTCGATTATATCAAATAGAATTTCCGATATATATTTGTTAACATGTAAAGGATCTAAAGCAAAAGTATGTTTTGAAATCCGAAATCTGTTTATCAATTTCACGCTGCTCGGCGGGGGGAACGCCGCGCGTAATGAATTGGAAGTTGATTTGTCAGCACTATCCTTATCTTGCGCAGATGTTTTTATTTGGCTTATAATTCCTTACCAAATGTAGTATTTCATCTCATGATTTAAAACAAGTTCCTCGTCATTATAATTCGCTTCCGATAGCGAAGAAAAGTAACAGAGGTTGTTGAAAACGAAAAAATTTCGATTGACAAATTAGTCGGTGTTCTTGACACAGCAATTAT